CAGTAACCGCCATATGTTGATAGCTTGTTTCAGAATGACACCATTCAGGATACGAACAGTGAACACTGCATTTATATTACACTATATTGATAAATATGATACTATGTTCATAATATAATACAGATTTCCATATAGACTTCATTTACTATCCCATAGTAGAGCGATAGAGTAAGTTGGCTGGTTCATCATATCGTTGTGGATGTAAAACATTGCAAATCGCTCTCTCAGTTATAGCTTGAAAAATGGGCCAGTTGGACCTGAAACGTTGTAACACGTTAATGCGTGCGTTAGTTGTGTATAAAGTACAGCACATATCAAGTGTTTGAATCCGCAGAATAACATATATCTTATGTTATACCAATATAAGACGGATACTAAACTATAAAAGATTGTTTGTGTTTTCAAATATTGAAGTATGTTTCTGAATACATAACACATACCGTTTATACAAAAATTGCGCAAAGTCCTTTTTTGTGTCAAATATCATTGTGATACTGAACGCATTCCCTACTGCTACTGTACACACTGTGACTATCAAGATAATGAAAACACGACCCTACTGCTCACAATGTGACGAACTAAAATACACACATGATCCTGCTGCTGATTCTGTGACAATGAGCTTCTTACCTTACTGCTCTCTTGTTGACAGACGAAGATCACATTATCCTTCTTTCAGTATTTTGTCACTTACAGGTGTAAATTACGTAAATCAACATGTGACGTCACTGACATGTCACGGTGTGCAGTTTTTGTGAGACAGATTCTTCGAACAAAAAATCTTTGATTATCAGTCGCGATAACCATAAACAAATGATACTCATGTTTTTCCTGTTTAATAATACCCTTCTTATCGTATGGTAGAATGATTGGTGCTCGTGAAAATGTGTTCTGTTGTTTTTTTGTGAAATACAGGGGTATCAAATGGGCAATAATCAAATAGACCCTATCTGATTGTCGGAATACCATTGATAATTAAGAAATTCATGTAACATGTATTCATACCGTTAATATAACACAATTTACACGAACACTAGTTGTATACCATCAAAAATGATATTTTAATGAATTGTTTTTGAATATATTTACATTCCTTACATCTAAGAAATGTAACTTTATCATTATGGTGATGTTCTTTTGCTCCTGTGATTAAACACCTAGTTCTATTGTAACCTATACATTTTCCATGGAACTCACAACCATTTATCATTAGATGTCATGCTAAATGGTTGTGAGAGATGTGATGAAAATAAAAACAAACATATTCTCCCATCTATATCCAATTACAATTTAAGTTCTAGAAAATTCAAGACATTCAACTTCAATTTTGAATGAAATTTATTTCATTTTTTGATTTACACTTTGTTTTTTTATTTACATTTTGTTTTCTCAATGTAATTTAATATTGATATTAATATTTCCTAATTTGTCTTCTTTTAAATATTGTTAGTGAGGGGGGATGGCCATCAGTGGATGGCCTTGTGTGATACAATGGACTAATTTAATTCAATCAAATGTTTATACATGCAGCTTCATTATTATTCAAATTATTTTTCTTTTCTCTTCATAAAAAGTATATACAATGTATATATATATATATATATATATATATAAAAAATAAAATTAACGACCGACTAAAAAACTAGCTGCTTTCACCCTTCACAGGGCTCTTCAGGTT